CTGGCAAACCTGATCTGGTGGCTGCAGGTGGTAGCATGGCAGCTGTGGATGGTTGGGCTGGCGCTGATGGTGACGCCATTGATGGTTAGAGCAACTCCTCGGACCCAGCGGAGACCGACGGCTGGACAGCACCATGCAATCTGCGGAATGCTGGATTGGGTCACCAGAGCCCCCAGTGGGAACAGACGGCTTACGCCTCTCTCCAGAGTCCCCAGCGGGAACAGACACAGCAGGTGTGGAGACGTCTGGCTAAGACAAAGTCAGCTGAGGCTGCATGAAACATCCAGCAAGCTCTGGACGGTTTTTGTGCTGCAGCAAGACAAAGTTAATTGCAGGCTGGGTGAGTCTGCCTGAGCTCTCTGTAGAACTGGCATCTCTGGAGAGAGTGACATTCTCCAAAGATGCCAGTTCTTGGGACACAGAAACCTTTGTAATATTGTTTCCCTTCTGAGAATGAGCAGGTAAAAAACAGTCCTTTACATTCACATCCTTAGAGTTAACAGTCCTGTTAACTCCGGGCTCGGCAGGAGCAACATGAAAGAAACATGAAACGTAAAGACCTCAGAACCTGGCTCTGAAGAAACTGTTTTTAAGGCCTTTTCAGTTATCTTAGCAGTAAAACAATCATCTTTAGTTGACTCTGGATTTACAGACTCTGGGTTCACAGGTTCAGAAACAGAAAACTCTAAGTCAGAATATATCGACTTAAAATTGAGAGATTTAGGAAAAACAGGAGAATAACAGTCTTCCTCACAGATGGGTCCAAAAACAGGAAACACAGTCTCTGCTTTAATCAACTGGGCAGTACGATAGTCCATAGTAAGTACTGGTTCAGACTAAACATTAAAAGTTTGTGATTTTGTCCCTTGTGTAGTGTAGCAAACAGTGTGGTACAAACAGAAATCTCAGGTTTTTCAAAATCAGAAACAAAATCAGAGTTCTTGTTCATAGGGCAAAGAGAAACAGCTTTTAGATCTTGTGAGGTGAGGTCCTCAGTCACAATCTTAATTGTTATTGATTTGCGAGGGGTAAGGAAAAAGTCTGTTTTACTCACCACGGCCGTCTGTTCTGAAGAAGTCCCTGGTGTGGGCTGTGGCAGGCAGGATGAAGGACCCAAATGTAGGACTCAGAAACGGAAAGTAAAACTCAAAGTACAGCTTTTATTGCTGGAAAAACTCTTTGTGGGAGTAAACATCACAAAAACAAACCAAAACCTTAAATGCAGAACTAAAACCTGAACTGGGAACTGAGAACTGGAAACAAGAAACTAAAAAATTCAAGCCAGGCAATGCTCGGAACACAAAGCGAGAATACACAGCACGACGCGATTGTCAGTCACCACTTGCTGTCGCATCATAAACAAAGTACTGAAATACACAGCGGAGTAATCAGGGAACAGTAGACAGAAAGGAAGCACAGCTGGGAGAAATTAAGCAGGATGAGACAAGCGAGGCAAAACTAGATGCTCTATCTAACAACGCACACAAGACTATCATAGTACAACAGGAACTGCAACAGCACACACAGACGCAGACTCAGACTCAGAGACACAAACTTCCCACCACAACAATGCTGACACGATACAGAGGGAACAGAAAAACAGAGATGACTAGACAGGAGACGTGGGACCAGGACAGACAGAGCAGACATGAGGACAGAGACAGAACACAGAACAGGGACTGTCAAAAATAAAAAAGAATTAAACCAAAACCCAAGATAATATTAATCAAAACAGCACAACTAATGAATCAGAACATAAACCATAATACAGAACAATACCAAAATACAAGAAACTCAAAATGCTGGGTCAAAATGACCCAGAACTAGCTCCAAGTGATGTAAACGGATATTTCAGTACATGTACTCATCCTGTACTATGTACTGACAAAGAAAGGAGCGCAGTGCTGTTAAAACTTTGATTTGAATGTTATATGTTTATTCTTTAAAAAGAAAAGAAAATATTTTAAAATAAAAGAGTGGGAGCTGTGTTTTCGTTCTCTGTCTGCAATAGTCTGTAATCTGAACCTCTCAGTATGACCATAAGAGATAAAAAATAGTGGTTAAGTCTGATTTGTTATTGCTAATTCTTGGTTTTTACTAGGTTTTAATTTATTTTATTTTATTTATGAAAATGTAAAATGTCACATTGCTAAATAAAAATCTTTTGAGGCCTTCCCCCTGAGACAAGAGTCAGTCTGGCGTTCCTTCCTCCTGACTCGTATCAGATGGCTAACACGATATTATTGACTATAGTTCAGAACTATAGCGTACTATAGTAAGGGTTTCTGGGTTTTCCCTTAGGAATAGGGCAAGTTGCTCAGTCATTCGGGGAGGGGGGGCTGAGAATAGAGCTGATGCTCCTCCACATAAATGAAAGGAGCCAGTGGAGGATGTTCAGGCATCAGCCTAGGCATGTCCAACTGCAGGGAGATGGTGGGGCAGACACAGAACATGCTGGAGAGATTATGGCTCTTAGCTGACTGACCATTTCAATGACTTAAGGCAAGTAGGTCTGCTGAGTGATGATAAAATAAAACAGGCTTACACAGTGTTTATAGTTTATTTATGAGAAATGCAAATATGAGCCAAAAATTGCCATTTTTATTGAATAAAACAAAATATAAATAGCAAATCAATAAAATGACAACACATAATAATACATATTTTAAAATAACACAAAAACTGCTTTCGGCACTTTTCTTGTTGAACTGCCGAAGTTGTTGTGCCTGCAAAACTGAGCAGCAGATCACCACAGAGCATCTGTCAGTACATTAATAACCTAATTATTAAAGTCTCACAGCAAAGTGCAAGAGACCAAGGAGCTCACTGTGGCTTAAAATACAACAGGTCAAAAACCCCAAAAAACTACAGCACCTTTTGTCACACAGCTTCATTTAGTTTAGTAGTATTTGCTCATCAGCTTCTACCTGAGAGGGCAGTGTTTGCCAGGGCAGCCAGACTGTCACAAGTCTGTGAGGCACACGCTGGAAGACGTCTCAAGATAGACGCAACCTCTGAGCCCTGAGCGAGACCGTCCGCCTCGCAGATTCATCACGAGGCTTCGACTCCTCTCAGACTCGGCCGTCTGGAGTCGAGTCTCACCGAGAAGCGAGTCCCACAGCAGACCTCTGCTGTATATCTGTCAATACACAGGAAGCCAATTAGCCCTGTGTGTTTGTGTGCTGCGTGAGAGGGAACAGGAATGTGCCAAACCTCAACAGAGATGTCTGTGTTGGGGTATCTCCTGTAGAAGATGGTTCTCAGGTTGAATTCAGGGTTTCCGCTCTCCTTGAACACCCGCGTCCTCACGTTGTCATTCTCACATCTCACTACAGCGTAAACATCGGGGGCTGTGGAACAAAATCCAGCACGGTGTAAAGAAAGAAAGAAAGAAAACACCAAGGGAGATATGTGCAATAATTAAGAGTCTGCCCAAATATGAGTCTTTCATTTTGCAGTCACCTGTTTGTTTGGGAGGGCGGAGTCCTGACGCCCTGTGTAGATAAACTGTGGTCACCACTGTGGGCTGAGGTAGAAAACAGTGGAGCACAGAGGGAGACGGTAAGTCCTCCCTCAGTTCCCTTCATGGAAAAAAGAAATAACTAAATTAAACGCAGAGGACTGGGAATAGTGAAGGGAAAAAGAGATTTTTTCTGTTAAAGTGGAAAAAATTAAATGTAAGAAATAATATAAAATTTATGATGCTAATAGTGGTTTCATATTGATTTTTATAATTTATCAAAAAAA